TGTACTGGGCAGAGATAATAGAATATTCTCCTTGAGCCCTCGGCCACAGCTAAAGGGAATCAAAGATTTTTGGTGTTCAGAACTAGCTCTTCCTTAGGCTTTAAAGTACATGGAATAAGAAATTTCATGTGCATATTCACCAACACGGTAGGAATTTGCGAGGAAAACCTGGCAATGAACAAAACATACAAACAGCTTGAGCATCTCCAGTTAAACCTCTTATAAACCTAACTGCACAAGTACATATATCCAATCAAGAATAGGTAACCCTAACATTTGGTATGCCCTGCAGGCGAGTCTAACATAATAATAGCTATCATTCATTAAGCATCCTACTTTGTGCCAGACACCATGTTAGGCATTTTATAAACATTACCCTAATCTTCAGAAGCATCTTATATAGGATTATTTCTCTTTCGCAGATGGAATGGAAGCTTAACAAGGGTGGGTAACTTGTTTATGTCGCATAACTAGCAGATGTTAAGAGTTAGGACTCAAACAAAGGTGGCTATTTCCATTGCACCATCAGAGAGAAAAGTTTTCTATTTACCTATTTTAGGTCTGGACAAGTTATTTTCAAATTGGAATGTGGTTTGATTTTGATTATTGAAAAGATCTTATATTTTCAAAGACCACAAATCCAAAATTATACTATCTGGTAATCATACATTCTCCTATCAATTTTTCTTATGCCACACTCACCTTGCCCCCTATCCGGACCTGAGCCTGAAGTTTGGCTAACTTTTCTTGATTCATGCTGTTGGTAAATCTAGGGGGGGAAAAATAGATTTGTTAAAGTCACTGTTTTACCAAAATTAAAAAACTGTTTATGCAAACAGTACCTTCTGGTTCGCTGAGCTTGCAGTATGCATCAACATCACGATCATATTAATACTGCCTATATTCTTAATAAATATTAATAACTTGTTCTAGCTTCATAAACCAGATATTTAAAAAATCAAAATTAAATTATCACAAGGGAGTCAAATATACAAATGGAAAATAGAATGGGATTCAAAGTCACCTATTTGAAGATCCCTCCTTAAAAGATAATTCAGTCCTTTGGCATTCGGTTAAACCTAACCAATTATGAAATCACTGTAGTCAAGCCAGTTTTTTCCTCCAAAGATTTTTACAGCAGAGAGCTGTTACCAAATGTTATTAGCAAAATATTCAAGTAGATTTTTTTCTCCCAAATCACATTCTGTATTTCTTATAAACCATAAAGATAACAAAAAGAAAAAAAAACTGAACAAAAAAGAAATTCAACAATAGGCTGTCTAGCTGTCAAGATACCAGGTAGTCACGTCCTCTATTCAAGGTCAGATGGTATGTTAATGTTGGGGAAAGAGAACCAGATTTCCAGACATTCGGCGCTTCTGCAGTATTCAGTTCATATGATACCTTGCACTGATATAGTATGTAACACTCTCCAAGATATTCTTGCATACAGGAAAAAATGCTTCCTTGCACAATTTAACAAAAACATATGTCTGCTACATTAATACTAAATTGGGAGGGAGGGGGAGACTTAAAATAAGCTTTTTAAAGCTAATCTCGATTTTGAAGACTCGAACATTATAAAATCATGAATCCTAGTCTGGTCAGTGATATTCCTAAGGGAAAAAAGTTCTTAAGTTTAGAATGGGTTATTACATTTTGCACTATATAAACAAATAAAAGCCAACTTAAAAGACTTGTTTTACTTGTTCTGTGGATCAACAAATCATTACTGAGAAGTGAGGGAGGGAATAATTGGCTATCAAACGTTCTCTGGCCAATTCTCTAACCCATGTATAATCATCATTCAGATAAAAAATATTTTCTTCATTTGAAAGATGAAAAAAATAAGAATCAAAGACTATATAATTACTAACCATTTTGTGCTCTGATGCTGTACTCAGGCACTAATCTGTATATACCTCTTCTTTAAGCTAAATAAAGTCAATTCTCAAATAACATTTAGAATTTATGATTCCTCACTCTTTGCTCAGCACTATATCACAATGCTCAAGTAGCTAAAAACTCTTATAGGAGGAAGTGTGTTTAGAGTCCAAAACAAGAAGTCTTAGGTGTGTGCCAATCTTAGCTCCGCCACAGACTTAAATTTGCTGATGTAAATCCCAATCTCTATACTCAAATATCCACAGAAAAGGATCAATATTCACTTTTCTCAAAGGAATGTGGCCATAAAGGTGTAGTGAATTAACAAAGAGCTTAAGGATCTCCTGTCATAGAGGTGGGGGGGAGGGGAGAGTTTAAGGAATTTCTTACAAAAAAGGGGCTAAGAGGGATAAGTGAAAATATATTAGACACAGGGAGCAGAGCCCCTTTGGGACTCTTCTGCATTTTGAAGTAACATTCCCCAAGAGAAGAGATGGAGATTGAGAAGTCAAGACATAAAGAGTCCTGACTTGTTTGAACCAAAAGCAAGAATAAAATTAATTCTTTAAATCAATGCGTAGATGAAAGAACAGATTCCATTCCAGGTGTTCAGGACAACAGAATTGAGAAATCTTGTTCCCAAGGAGTATCTCAGAGAACAAGGATTTTAGGGAGGTTGGTAGCTTAAGGTAGTAGGGGAGGAGGAAGGGTGGTCTTTTCTCTGTTAGCAAGTTGGGGTGTGTGGAATTCAAGTAGTAAAGAGGATTGGACTCAGTCTACGAGAGAAGAGAGGTCAAGCTCAGGATCTGGAGTAGACCTCAAAGATCACTTGGTTTAATTCTCTATTCCTCAATTGACCTTTACTTTATTGTACCCATCAATCGTGTCTTGTATGTGAGGCCGTATCAATATTCACTAGCAGAAGGGTATAAATTATAAACAAAACAGTCATCTCTCTCCCAATTTAATAAATTAGGAAATGAGGGCCCAGAAGGGAGAAGTCCTTTTCTAAGCTCAAAAGGGAGAAGTAACTTCCTAAAGCCACATGATTACCGAGTTCTTCACTGGGGAGCCAAGGATCTTTTGGCGCTCTTCTCAAGGACTCAAGAAAGGGTGTAAATAATGAAGTTCATCTACATTTATTGAGTGCCTAAATTACAAGCATTGTAGTGGGCACTTTTACATCCATCATGTTTATTTACACAGAGCCAAAAGTAATTTCAACCTTTAGTCCCGACTTTGTATTTTATGCAGGGTTTCTCTAAGACAAGCACAGGCTTAGGCATCAGAAAGACCACTTAAGGCTTCGGAAAGATTTTACTCTCTGAACTTGTATTACTCCTGCATTAGGAAAGGTTTAACACCACATACTTCATAGAGTTGTTCTGAGGGTTAAATTATATTAGAGCATAGCTCACAGAAGATACTCAATAAATGGTAACTATTGTTACCACTCCCGAGGGAACAGCTATGATAAAGTGAAAGAACGTGGGAACGGAAGTTGAAACCGCCATTCACTAGCTGTGCAACACTGTGCCTGTCGGTCAAACATCGGGCAGTGTGAGGGAGTTTGGAAGTCAGTATCTCAAAACGGAGGCAGACTTGTAAACAAATACTGCCATTACAAGGTGAAGAGCGCTGCAACGGAGTTCGGTTAGCAGAGCTTGGGGTGCTAATCTCGGTTTCCCTATCTGTAGACCGCGAGGATCAAATGCGATGACAACAGATAGGCTCTATTAAAGCTCAAAGCTGACGACACTGCTGTGAGTAATGGGACAGTGGAGGGGCGCCCACCGCCTCCTGCGACCGGATGCGGGCGGCAACAGCACGGACCCGCTCGCCCACACAGGGGGCGGTGGTGCTGGGGACCTTCCCTCAGGTGCCGACCCCCAGCTGCGCCGCCGGTAACCGACAGGCCAAGCCAGCCGCCTCCGCCCCCACTCGCCGCGCCACGGCGGAAGTGGCAGCCCGAGCGGTTGGCAGGTGTTGGAAGAAGAGGGCGGGGGGAGACCGTGCGCAGTGGCCTATGGCCGTGGAGTGGCGGGACCGCCGGGGGTCTCACCTGAAGCAGGGAGGGTCCTCCAACACCAGCACGCGGCAAGAGCAAGATGGCTGCCTCAGACTAGACAGAGAAAGACGACGGCGGCGGCAGCAGCGGCGGGAGCAGGGCGCACGTGACATAGCCGGCCCCGCCTCTCCCTTTCGGAGTGGCCTATCCCGGGAGCGCATACTCGAACTACAAAACCCACGGTGCTCTGCGCATCCCACTATCTCTATTGACGGCAGGTGCAGGTGGCCGCGCTGCATCCTGGAGCTTGCAGTCTCCCGAGCGTTCCATTGTGTCTGTGCCTATAACTTGTAGGGAACCTAATAAAAGGGCAGTGTGTTTTTGTTAGGTGTGTGCTTTTGTTCGGATGCGTTTTCACTGTGCACAGTACGCACTACAGGACTGAACTAGTACCGGGAGGAAAGACAGGAAATTTTGGCCTGTTATGCAGGAGAGGGGAAAAAAATGGGAAGAAATACTTAACCCAACCAAAAAAATAGATTTAACCAGAAGCAGCTTTACACGTTAAATGTCTGCAGTGACTTATGTCCTGGTGTCTTAAATCCACATAGGTCAGTTTTGAAATAAGAGGCCTCAAGTTAGATTTTCTCGGAGCTTGCATCAGTTGGTTGCATCATCCCTGAGTGGAAATACTGCGGTTGCAAAGAAAAATAAGGTCCTGCGCTTCTTCTCCAGTGGGAAAGGGCGTGCCTCTAAGGCACAAGACCAAGCACCGCAGATCAGGTTTGCCAGGTTTCTTCGCAAACCAGAGCAGGAACCTAACAATTAAATCCAGTTGTGCAGTCTTTTTTAACTGTGGAGGGGTAAGGAGAATCCGACCAACGGGTAACCCGCCCTCTGTTGCGAGCGGCTGACCTCACCAATCAATAATTTGTATTTGAATATTAAGAGCAAGAGCAGCGGTTCTTGGGGGGAGGGGCTGGACTGGGTGGCGGAGGCCGCCAGCAACGGTTTTCTCGAACCTTTCCCCCGCCCCCACTGTCTTGGCCCACCTTTTCCTGCTTATTCCCGGGACCTGGACGTCCAGAATTGGAGAAAAGCAACTCACGCTCGAGAGCAACTCCTGGAACCCTTCTACGTGATCTGCACCTTTAAACTCACTCCCTCCCAAGCCGGACCCTGGAGGCACCACCCACATCCGTCTAACATCACTTCCTTCAGAGTTTGGGGGAAAAAAAAAAATCTGGGAACGCGAGGGGTTGGGTTCAGCCGCGCTTGGGGAGCTGTACGGACCTTCTGCTAGGACTCCGGCCCTGTGTCCGCTCAGCCCAGTGGCCCCGCGCACCTACTACAATGGAGCTCCAGCCCCGTCTCGGGGCCACCTGTTTGCTGGGCTTCAGTTTCCTGCTCCTCGTCATCTCTTCTGATGGACATAGTGGGCTTGGAAAGGGTCAGACCGCGTTCTTATCTTAATCTTTACTGTTCCTGGGCCCTAGCCCAGTATAACCCTCTTCGTGCCCTAACACCGTTCCCCTCCGGTTCTATCTCTTGGGCCACTCCAGATTTCTTTTTATCTTCCCCAATCGCTCCTGGATTTTGAAGATTTCTTGGGATACGGAGTACCGGGTCTGGCGAATGTTAAAAAGGGGGAAGTTGGCCGGGCGCGGTGGCTCACGCCTGTAATCTTAGCACTCTGGGAGGCCAAGGGGGGAGGATCGCTTGAGCTCAGGAGCTCGAGACCAGCCTGAGCAAGAGCGAGACCCTGTCTCTACTAAAAATAGAAAAAATTAGTGGGGCGTGGTGGCACGCGCCTGCAGCTACTCGGGAGACTGAGGCAGGAGGATTGCTTGAGCCCAGGAGCTTGAGGTTGCTGTGAGCTAGGCTAATGCCAGGGCACTCTACCCCGGGTGACAGAGCAAGACTCTGTCTCAAAAAAAAAAAAAAGGGTGGGGGAGGAGTTGTACTTAAGACCTCTTTAAATTATTGATTGAGTTGGGGGAAGGAATGGCCTGTAAATTAGGAAAAACATGTTTAAGAGCCCAGCATAGTGCCTAGCACGTGGTAATAGGTCCTCAGGAACGGTCACCTTCTCTCCTGGGAGAAGACCAGCATTTGCAGAGACTCCTGCTCTGAGTCTGAAGGTTCCTCACCTCTTCCTTGAAGAGTTAGGTTACTGTCCCCTCCTTGCCCTTGGGAAACAGCAGCTGCATCCCCTGGAGAAGTGTCTGGTGTATGACAAATGGCCAGATAGAGGGCAGAAGGTCTGCTATTAGAGTGTCTCCAACAATTATCCTTGCTGTGGTTCAGCCAGTGTGTCTGAAAAACTGAAGCTTTTTTCGAGGAGTGAGGGATCAGTGGATCTGGGTCAGAATGTGTGACCCCTTACTCCATCCATTACCTGCATCTTCATTTTAAGCACTAACACCTTTCTCCTCACCAGCTCTTTGTTAGCTGAAAGTTGGATTGTTTGTCTGTGAACTCAGAATTTGTGCTTTTCTAAGTAGTTGAGTTGTAGCATGGATCCCAATCTCCCATTTTTTTTTTTTTTACCGACTTTACTATAGAATGATTCTGCTGTAGTCCTGCTGTTTTTAATTGTTTTCTCTTATCCTCCCTATTTACACCTATGAGATTGGGTGGACATTCAGTGTGCCCGAATGCAATCACTCCTTCATTCAGTAAATAATTTTGATTACCTATCATATTTCAGGCACTATCCTAGGCACTAGGGATATAGCTATGACCAGGACAGGACAAGGTTCCTGCTCTCATGGAGTTTATATTCAAGTCAGAGAGAGAGTGAACTTATGAACAAATTAATAAAGATGACAGTTTCAGTGAGGGATAAGTACTGGGAAGAAAACAAGACTGTGATGGAATAGGAAGTAGAAAGGCTGGGGAGGATGAGGGAGCTGGCATCATTTTAATTTAATTTAATTTTTTTTTTTTTTTTTTGTAGAGATAGGGTCCTGCTATGTTGCTCAGGCTGGGCTTGAACTCCTGGCGACAGGCAATCCTCTTGCCTTGATCTCCTAAAATGTTAGGATTACAGATGTGAACCCACACCTGGCCTAGAATGTTTTAAATACTGACAATCCCATTTTAAAACAGACTACTGTGTACTTAGAGTAAAATTGCAAGTACTAAGGTTTCAGTACAGAAGAGTACAGTGTTAGGAATGTGGTTTTAGATCTGAGTTTTAATTTGTTCTGCTACTGACCACCTAAGTAGCTTGGGACAAAGTTTCTTAACCTCTCAAAGCCTCAGTTCCTCATCTGCAAAATGGGCATAATAATAACTACCTCAAACACTCAACAAATAATTTACTCTGTTCCAGTTATAGTGTTAGATGTAGGCAATACCTTGGAGTCAGGTATTTAATATATTTATTCCTTGTTAGACGTTAAGTTCTGTGTGGTTTTTCCAGTTATATTACTGTGTAATAAACCACCCCAAAATCCAGTGGCATGAAAAAATCATTTTATTTTGCTCATGATTCTGTGGGTCAGGAATTTGAACAAGGCACAGTGGAAAGGCTTGTCTCTATTCTATGATGTCTGGGGCTTTAGCTCAGTTAGTTACCGCTCCATGTGATCTTTCTACAGGGGCTACTTTGAGCTCCTTCATAGTTGGGCAGCTAGATTCCAAGAGTGAATGGCATAAGAAAACAAGGTGCACAGCATTTTTATCATCTAGCCTTACAAGTCACATAGCATCACTTGTGCTGAGCTGTGTAGGGGCAGGTTCAAGGGGAAGGACATTAAAACCCCTGCCCCCAATTGGAGGTATGTTGAAGTCACGTTGTAAGAAGAGCATGTCTGCCACAGGGATCCAGTATCATTTCTGTCTTGTTTATGCTCAGGAATATTTGTTGAAAGAAGAAATGAATGATAAACATGATCGTTGTGATCCTTGTCTTTTTCCAGCCTACAGTCTGGTGAGATATCAAGACAAGTATATAGGCAATTACATGACAGTGCGATATGTACTTTAAGTAGAGGAATACCGGGTAACTGTAGGAACACATTGTAGAAGGGCAACTTAGGGCAGGGGAACGGGGTTGTGAGGATTCAATGAAAAAACAAAAGGTACTTAATTGCCTGTGTCCCATTAGAGGCAAAGAAAAAAAATAATATTGTGTCACACTTAGAAAATATTTAGTAAATGTTAACTGATATTATTTTTTCCCATGGAGAAATATTTAATTATTTCTGAAGGGAATTAATAATATTTCAAACTTTTATGTGTCTCTTCGGTATAGACTCTTAGAAAATAGATTATACCCTAACCACCTACCTCCCAAAAAAGTGCTACCCAAGGCAGTGGTTCTCGAAAATCTTTTTTTTTGGGACAGAGTCTCGCTCTGTCTAGAGTGCCATTGCATTAGCTTAGCTCACAGCAACCTCAAACTCCTGGGCTTAAGTGATCCTCCTGCCTCAGCCTCTCCAAGTAGCTGGGACTACAGGTACACACTACAACGCCTGGCTAATTTTTGTGTTATTAGTAGAGATGGGGTGTCACTCATGCTCAGGCTGGTCTTGAACTCCTGACCTCAAGTGATCCTCCTGCCTCGGCCTCCCAGAGTGCTAGGATTACAGCTGTGAGCTACCACACCGGGCCCTGAAAATCTTGATGAGAGGGATTTCTTCCCAGATGTTTAAGTAGCTCTGGCTCTTTCCAGAAGATGGCCTGGTGGTTTGCAGAGAAGGGAGACTGAATGATCCCCACTGGTTTCATTAAGATGAGGAAGCACAGTGTTAATGGAGTATGCAGTAAATATTAATAGAAATTAGGAGGCCTGGATTTTAATCCTGTTCAGGCCATTTAGCCAGCTCTGGTCCTCCATGGTGACCATTTATTAAATGACAAAGTTGGACTAGAAATGATTCCTAAGAGTCCTTCTAGCTCCAACACTCTAGAGTTCTAAAATAATTTCATTGTACTCCATGGGCTAAAAATTTGGAACACATCACCTTTGGGGAGAGGTGTAATGAGCAACATTTACTGTACATTTACTATCTTCCAAGTGCTGTTATGTGCATTTTTCATGTATTGACTGGCTTAATCCTCATAATAACCCTATGAGATGGCTAACATTTTTATCATTATCTCCATTTCACAAATGAAGAACCTAAAATGAGGCACAGGAGTCACACAGCTAACAAGCAAGTAGACTAGCTGGAATACAGATCCCAGAGCCAGTCCCTTTAAACAGTAAACCACTCTGGCCTCTAAGTGCAGAAACTCCTCTGAAAAGTTTAAAGGAGAAATTAGAAAGCTGTCAGTAGGGGCAGTTCATGTGCTCTCCTGCCTGAAACAGAAATGGATGATTCTGTCAAGTCTCTGGAGTAAAAATTTAGCATTAACATGGATGAAGTATTTACCTTAATATTTACCTTCCATACAATGTCCTATTCACATTCACAACAACCCTATGGGATAGATATTTTTGTTAGCCATATTTTGCATTTGTGAAAACTAAGTGGCTGAACAAGGATTCCAATTTGGATCTGTTTGACTAAGACAAAGATTATTTAGCCATTATATTATTCTACCTGTCAGGTACAGTGTTCCCTGTTTTAGAGGCTTGGTTGCCAGCTCTGACACTTGACCTTTCATTATTTAGGTTTTGTGAGCTGGGAGGAGGTGGATAATACTTTTCTGATGTCCTTACACTCATTAAAACTATTTTCAAATGAAGCTTGGAAATTATTATTATTATTATTATTATTATTTTCTGAGATAGAGTCTTGCTCTGTCACCCCAGGTAGAGTGCAGTGGCGTCACCATAGCTCACTGCAACCTCAAACTCCTGGGCTCAAGCGATCCTCCTGCCTCAGCCTCCTGAGTAGCTGCGACTAGTAGGGACGGGGTCTCGATCTTGCTACTGACCTCAAGCAATCCTCCTGCCTCCCAGAGTGCTAGGATTATTAGGCGTGAGCCACCATGCCCAGGCTGGAAATTTGGATGTAAATACTGTGTTGAGAAATGGTTGCTTTTCCTTTTTTTTTTTTAATTAATGTTTTAGGGAAAGAGCTACTGATGTAAGAGACTTTAGTTTACAGATAACTGGCGTAAATCAAGTGGCTTTGCAGGTGACACTTTAGGAAACTAGACCATCTTCAGATTTCCATGTTGCATGGGTATGAGTATGGGTGGTGCTGGGGATTCGATGATTTTAGTAACAAGGTAAAAACTGTACCTTTTTAAATTCTTTTTGAAAGGGAAACAAAAGGACCCAAGTTTCCAGGTCTTAAGTTAGGGTTCTCATTCTGCTTTGGTGAAGCTGCATTTATGCATTTAATCTTTGCTAGAGAGACAGTAAAATGTAGTGATTGGTTCTAACTACGGATCCTCGAACCCAACCACCTAGATTCTAGTTTCAGCTCTGCCACTTACTAGTAATGTAACCTTGGGAAGGCTATTTAACTTCAACTTCCTTATCTATAA